TGTTTTAAAATGAACATTGCTCAAAAAGCTCGGATCATACAAACAGCCATTTGGCCCCACGCGTTCTTCGGAGCTGAAACCCAAATCGTTGGAGACAAACATTTTAGGACCCTACGGAGAGAAGCTGCCACAGCCTTGATTGGACCGGAATCCCAGATCTCCAGCTGGTTAGCAGTCCATATCTTTAATAGCCAATTGCAGGATCCATTGCTTTACGTCATTACTAATGCACTGGCATTTATGCGTCGTATGTTTCATGTAAACCCAGACTTGGCGCTAAAATTCCTTCAAGCCGTCACTCAGCATGAAGGTCCGGCTGTAGGGCCTGCAGGAGCCTTAGCTCGGTATCTTCGTCAGGTTGGTTGGTCCCTGGCTCCAGACGGTCGTTTAACTCTCGATGGGTATTTATCGGTCTCAGTTCGATATGATGCTCTTCGCTTTATCCGTCAACAATTACGCTTAGCCTGGGCTTACCAGATTCATCGCAATATCTGCCATAGAAAGGGCGTCATTGATCATCCCATTGATTTAGTGATCCTTTCACGGGTCTTACGTAAAATGCCTCCAGCTGCAGTTCGCTCCATTGCCTATAACCTTACTGGTGGCTATCAGGTAGGTGCTGTGAAGGCCTTGTGGTCTGCTACTTCTGATGCACGTTGTCCCCATTGTGACCAACTGGACACACATATGCATCAACAACTCGGATGTCCAGCTTTTCACGAGATTCGAACTCGGCATCCAAAAGCAGTGACTTATTTGTCTAATAACCCACATAAACTATGGCTACCCCTGCCAGCAGCATTCCCCTACATCACAGAACTGCGTCAATTCCTTGCAGCCAGAGGTCTCGACACTGGACACACGCATATCCGACAAGACGCTGATGTTCTTTATTTCTATACAGATGGGTCAGCTGATACTCCCCTTCACCCAGAAACCCGTCGAGCCGCGTGGTCTGTCATCCAGTTTCGACCTGAATCCATTCAGGATCCATTCCTTACTATCAAAATCCAGCACGTCCAGGGTCCTCAATCCATCGCTCGTGCAGAGCTTGCGGCCGTAGCCTGGATTATTCAGCACGTCACACACAACCACTGGTCACAGCAAATTGTCATTGCCACAGATTCTCAGTATGTTATCAACACCATTGGCCATATTACCATGCCAGCATGTTACCCTTCCTGGCACCGTCTGGCCAACGCTGACTTACTTCACATCATCGCGCGTTCATGGTCCTCATCACAATTTGTCCTCCGCAAAGTTCGAGCCCACCAACATATTCAGGATGCCCCCCCCGGTCCGGCACGTGATGATGTTCAAGGCAATTCATGGGCAGATCATGCCGCAGTTATTGCACGTAAGACCGATCATACATTTGTCCACTCTTTGTTTCAGACAGCTGCCACTTGGCATCGCGATCAATTTGACCAAACCCAATCCATTTTGCATTACCTCGCTGACCTCAATGTGACTCATGCTAGTCTTAAACAGGCACAGCGTCTCAAGACCGGCGGCTCTCCCCATCACGACTCTACGGCTGATTGGGGTACTCTGTTCCGCCAGCGCGAATTGTATACGATCTCGCATGATCCTGTCCGATTTGCCCCGCTGGTTCATCCTGCTTTCCTTACTGCCTGTGTTTGGGGAAACCAGTATGCGGACTTAGTCTTACGTTTCTGTGCTAGTCTTAAATGGCCATCTCCGGAGGTACACTCACCAGCCCTCGAAGTAGATACAGGCATCACATGGCACGAACTCGCTTTAGCTTTCATCGTAAATACAGGAATACAATTCCCGACATGGGTTCGTAGGACCGGTCAAGCTCGAGCTCAGCCTGTACACTGGCAAGATCCCAGTGTGTTAGCCCTTCCTATCCATCGGAGATCTTTACGGGAACAAGCCGAAGCCTTTCGTACCATCGTCCTTTACCTTCAAGGCTATGCTGATACGCCTTTAGTGCCCAAATACTCTAAAACCGGCTCGCTTAGCCTCACTCAGGTAGGATGGGGGCGATCATATACAGGTGGTTTTGCATCCCGCCCGGAAATTCCCAATTCTCATGCTGTCCAGCGAACATTGGTCCTCTACGCAGAGCAGCTACATTGTAAACCACCGTATCATCCTGACGGTCTGGTGCCCATGCGCCACGCAGTCGCTCATTTTCCTATTGTGCCTGCACAGACGCTTACCTTTGAACAGAAGTTCAAATATCGTCGCAATCTTCGCAAAGTGTGGAACAAGCATGGTGATCTCGATTCTGTTAAGGTCCCCGCCCCTAATTAGGAATTTACCTTTGAGCCTTCTACGAGCTGCGCGGATATTCGGTTTCACGTAGATAGTGGTCTCACTTGGTAGCCTCATTGCAACGTCTTTATCCGACAAAGTGATACTGACCCCACTCCCGGACACCCACCAACATGGTGCAGGGTCGCGGGAAGCGTGTCGACAGCGAGCGCAAGTTGTGTGAGTAGTAAGGCCAGGAGCCCCTAGTAGCGTCCTTGCTCCTGGCTCGGTGTGGAAACTGGGTTGCGGATCGAAGTTTCGAGTGTTGGCGCCTTTGGCCCATTCACTTTCGCATACTCTTTCGAAGCAGAGAAAGGTGAAAGACAATGCTAAGACAGGTTAAAGGATGTTAAGGGCTTTTCACATTTGCATATGAACACTCAAACACATTCAACAGAACAGTCTTAGGTCTTGGAGGTCTTGGACATGTTGGCGATTTGGCCGGGCTCGACTTCGGCCCGGCTCCGCCCTGTAGGTTTGGCAGCACTTCATCGTGCATCGCAGTCTGGTGCAGGAGAAGTCGTTCGCCTCCTGCTGGCAGCCCAAGTTCATCCAGATGGACCAGGTGATCTTGCAGTAAGACTTTATGTGTTCGACTATTTGAGCATCTCATTATCTCATTCTCTGATTTTCAGCTGCTCTTGTCATTTCTTGTCCATTCTCCGGAGCAGGATCTGCAAAGATCTCTCCGCTGCGGATGGCTGTCGAATGTGGTCATTTCAACATCGTGCGCCTTTTGCTGGATGCTAAAGCCAATGCAAACTTGACCAAGGCAGGTGAACATGCACAAGCACGCGTTTCAACCGTTCAGGGATGTTCAGAGTGTTAGGGCTGTTGAGCGGTTGAATCAATTCAAAGCCAGGAACATGGTGACAAACAGGTAAATCCGCACGCATGAACATGTCAGTGCAAATCTGAACAACGATGGTGGAGGCTTTTCATAAGTTTGGCACCCTGATCATGCTTTGCTCACCCGCAAAAAGGATCAAGTGCGGTGTCGCGACTCTCTCTGTCTCTCTCTCTCTCTCTCTCTCCAAAGGCCGATGGAAGAACACCCTTGCTCGCTGCAGCTACATTTGGTGATTTACAGATTGTGCGAGCTTTGCTGATGGCTGGTGCCTGCCAGGATCGATGGCTGTCAAGATACGAAGACTGCTTGCTTTTAGAGAACTAGTCAGTTGATTGGAAAAGTTACCGATGTTTGAGGCAAACGTTTGGGGCTCCTAGTAGCAAAGGGCATCGCTGCTAGGAGCAAAGGGCTCCTAGCAATACTACCAGGAGCAAGGACGCTACTACTAGTACCGTTTGGACATGTCTGGAGAAGAGCCCGTGCTCGCACCAGGACACCAAAGGAGGCTTGTCACCCATCTATTTGGCGGCGAAGTATGGCTCTGCAGCAGTGGTGCAACTGCTTTTGGAGTTCAGAGCAGACAAGGCCGATGGTTTCGCTCTATCGGTTTGTCCACATCCAAAAAGCCGGGTCCATGGGTCCACAGATTCGTTCGTCTTCTTCTTAAAAAGGACGAATAACGGACAATTGGATACAATTGGTCTCCTAAAGTCTCCTTAAAAAAGACAACACACCACCTCAACGCAACGCGAGGATGTGATTGGCGAGAGTGGCCGCACTCCACTGTGGGTTGCCTGTCGACATGGGCACCTGGGCGTGGTGGATGCTCTGCTGCGTGCTGGCGCGAACAAGGCACGAGAGAGCTGGTGTGGTGTGGGACACTTGACCAAGGAAGTCTGTTGCTCCAAGAGCTTCTTTGGAACAGTTGGACTGCAAACAGGATCTGCCTTCAAACACCGAGCACAAGCTGCCACAAGCTACCTGTTGCAAAATGTAGCACAGCGCGAGATTAGTCCAGAATTTGAATAGGCACAGCATCCAGAAAGTTCCGGTTGCACGCATATTCTACTGCAGACTTGCCAGCTGTTAGCTGCCCTTGCTTTGTCCTTGCTTGGACGACTCCAACATGTTTCTTCAACATCAACGAAGTCAAAGTGGAAAACGTGAAATTGTGGCCAGGACCTCGCGGACCATTCGGGCGACGCTCCTTTGGGAGCCGCGGCAGAGGCGGGGCAGCGCCGGGTGGTGGACTTCATGTTGATGGCCGGCGACGATCTCAACAAGGTCGGAGGTGAGAGTGGGAGAATTGGGAGGGGGAAGGTGAACGAAGGCATGAGAGATGGATTCTGAAATATGTCAAAACCACTTGTCTTTCACTTGGCCTTGGAACGCGCATGAATTGAAACACTCAGGGCTAGAGAGGCCCTTCCTTTCGGCCGTTCCGATCGGTCCGTCTCTGACCTCAGGCGATTACCTCAAGTCGCTCACCCCTGGAGCCGCCTTGGAAGCGGAGAAAACAGACCGCTTTGGAGTGGGAAAGAACGGTCACCTCCGATTGAGCCGTTGGAGGTGACTGTTTATCGAGTTTAGATGTAATAAAATGTGTAGTGCATCGCTAGTAGTAACAAGTGCCTTACTAGTAGTAACAAGGTTCGCTACTAGCAACTAGTGCATCGCTTCGAGTTTAGAATTGGACGTGCTTGGCAGAATCCAGCTCCGGTTCAGTGAAGTGCGAAATGACTTGGGACCAGGGGCATTAGAGGCATTTGTGTGATTCGTATCAACCGAATAGGAATGGCCTCCAACCTAAGAGCGATGACCTCCGAGCTCAATCGTCAAGCTCAATCTGCTTTTCAATGCGAATGAGGCGAGAAGAAATAGAGCCTGTCCAGACCGGCCAGCCACCGAGCTTGAACAGGCCACTTCAGAGGTCGTTAAGCGACTTCGATTGGCACCTTTTCAACCGCTCGCCGTTTCATGTCGGGAATTCCCTCAGCATTTCTCATACTGACTCATGCTCAATGCTTACAGATCTGATTCTTTTCGGGCATATCGGGAACGAAAAAACGAAAAGAGTAGTTGGATCTGAATTGGAAGTGCTCCCAGGTCTGGTGCGACCCAGAAGTCCTCGTCCCACCCTCAGCCTTTGGTGGTGCGGGGTGAGCAGAAGAAGGTTCTCTGGTTTCTGGGTCTCAGCTTGTGGAACCCAAAAAATCAAACATCTTGCATCTTCATTTTCGGCAACGCACTTAAGCTATTGCGTTGAACCGAACGTTACAAGCTTTTGTGGGGCAGCTTTGCCTTGAAGAGCAACTGCATTCAGTGACGATACCATCAGAGCATGTATCTACTCAGGCAGATGTATGAGTGGATTTCAGTTTGTGCCCATGTAGCAAGTTCTTGAAATGGCAGCAGGTCCACGTGAGACAAATCTTCTGAGAAGGCCCGGAGCGGTGACAGATGGACTGGGAAGACTGTTGCCTTGTTCGGACATTGTGACTAGGGATGGAAAGGTTGAGCAAGAGATACGTTCTACTTGCACTCTTGAAACCACACTTGAATACATTCTGGGCCAACTATACAGCAGCATCTTGTTCCAGCATTCCTTGGTCAATACATAGAGGCAGTGCTTGGCTACAGGCTACAGGTTTTTCCAATCAAACATGCAAACACGGCTAATGAAGAATTCTGAAGCACTTATTTTCAAAATTTGCAACAGAGGCATCGCTACTAGGAACTGCTAGTAGCAAGGAGGCTACTAGGGTGCTCCTGGCCTCGCTACTAGTAGCAAGGAGGCTACTAGGGTGCTCCTGGCCTCGCTACTAGGAGCAAGGACGCTACTAGGGGCTCCTGGCCTTACTACTAG